AAAATTGAAAATGTGGCATTTGATAATATTTTCTGTCTTCCTTTCAGACTGATAAATAATGATGTTCTCACATTCTGGGTTACTAGATTGTCATAAATGTAATTTAAGTATAAATAAGTGTATTAAAAGAAATGTAAAAATAGCTACATATGAGTAATTGTTATAGAAGCAGGGTATAGCTCAGTGGCAAAGTACTTGCTTAGCTAGTATAATGTCCTAAAAAAGAAAAGACAGAAAGAGTAATTGCTATATACTCTATTTTTAGGAAGTTTATAAAGAAAATTTGGGTAATTTGTATAATAAATTGATTGTATATACAGTATTTGTAAATACAAATTTGTATATATAAATATTATATTGTATATACAAATTTGGATACATTTGTGTAATAAATTTATTATACAAATTAAATATATACTTCCTCATTTAAAAACTCACTACAAAGTTATAGTAATCAAAATAGTGAGGTATTGGGATAAAGCTAGACATAAAGACCAATAGAACAGGATAGAGATCCCAGAACTTTGACATACTTGATCAAATGCCTTTTTTTTTTTTTAAATCAATTCCATGGCTTGACCTCAGGGTTTCACACTCTCATTCAGCTTTCTTGGTCATGGCTAGTCCTCTACCACTGGAGCCACACATCCAGTCTTGCTGTTAATTGGTCTTTAGGACTTTGCTACTGGGGCTGTCTTGGAACTTGAGTCTTCTATCTCTCAGCCTCCTGAGTCGTTACGATTAGAGGTGCATGGCTTTAAATGACTTTTTAAAAAATTTTTTTCTTTGTTTTTGTGCCAGTACTCAGGATTAAACTCAGGGCCTGGGCACTTGTTCCTAACCTTTTTTCATTCAAGGCTAGTTCTCTACCACTTGAGCCACAGCTCCACTTTGGTGGTTAATTGGAGCTAAGAGTCACATCAGCTTTTCTGCCCAGCTGCCTTTGAACCTCAATACTCAGATCTCAGCCTCCTGAGTAGCTAGGATTATAGATATAAGCTACCAGTCCCAGCTCATGTGACTTTTGGTAAGGGTGTAAGAACACCCAATGGTAAATAGTGCTGGTAAAACTAGATAACCACATGAAAACAAATCAGAATGGATCCCAGACCCATGTAAGAGCTAAAACTATATAACTCTAAAAAGTAAACATAGAAATAAGGCTCCATGATATTGGACATAACAAAGGCTTCTTAGTTCTGATGTCAAAACCTGAGCAACAAAAGAAAACATAGTTTAGATTTTACCAGAATTTTTGTGCTTCAAAGAACTACATCAAGAATGTGAAAAGGCAACCACAAGATGGAGCAAATATTTGCAAATCCTCTAACTGTTTAAGAATTAATACCTAAAATATAGATTAAAAAATTAACATGCAGAGTGCCAGGGACTGAAGCATATAATCCTAGCTACTCAGGAGGCTGAGATCTGAGGATTGCAGTTCAAAACCAGCCCAGACAGGAAAGTCCGTGAGACTCTTATCTCCAATTAACTACCAGCAAACTGGAAGGTGGCACTATGGCTTAAGTGGTAGAGCACTTGCTTTGAACTGAACAGCTCAGGGACAGCTCCCTGGCTCAGAGTTCAAGCCCCATGACTGACAAAAAATAAAAATAAATCTAACATGTTGGTTCATAAAGAACATTTATAATTCAGCGATTAACTCAGTGAAAAAGGTAGTTAAAAAGACTTCAGACAGGGCTGGGAAGTTGGCTCAGTGGTAGAGCGCTTGCCTTGCATGCCTGAGGCCCTGGGTTCGATTCCTCAGCACCACATACGCAAAAAGAAAAAAACCGGAAGTGGCGCTGTGGCTCAAGTGGTAGTGCACTAGCCTTGAACTGAAGAGCTGAGGGACAGTGCTCAGGCCCAGAGTTCAGGCCCCACAACCGGACCAAAAAAAAAAAAGACTTCAGACATTTGTGAACAGTATACCAATGGTCAATAAACACATGGGATGGTGTTCTATATCATTAACTAGTAGGAAAAGAGTAACTTTCATGGCTTTTCTGGGTAGTTTTTGTGTGTTGAAGAGCCTTCTCTGGAGAATAGATGCTGTAGTCTGTTGTTTGGTATTCAACTGTCAGTTACTATTAACTTCTGTTAGATAAAGCTATCTAAGAACCAAGAACTGTGTGATAATTAGGCGATGTTCGATTCATCAGGTTCATCTACAATTAAGTACTAAATTTTGTTATGGAGAGGTGATGTCTTACATCTTTGTATTCTTTAGGATTTTACTTAAGAGTAGTGTTTTTCTGAGATGTTATTTCAAGTGAACAATATTGTGCAGAAATTTTTTGAAATTTCTTTCATATGGCTAGGAAATTATCTTTAGTTAAAAAGATCTTAGCAAAGTCAGGAAGATCACAGTTTGAGGACAGCCTGGGTAGAAGTTATTGAGATCTTATCTCAAAAGTAAGTCTAAAGCTGAACACTAGTGTCTCATGCCCATAACAGCTACTCAGAAGGCTGAGATCTGAGGATCACAGTTTGAAGTCAGCCTGGGTAGGAAAGTCTGTAAGACTCTTAACAGAAAGCCAGAAGTAGAGTTGTGGCTCAAGTGGTAGAGCACCAGCCTTGAACAGAAAAAAATCTCAGGGACAGTGCTCAGGCCCTCAGTTCAAGCCCCAGCATTGGCACAAACAGAAAGTAAGTCTAGTATGGTGGTACACACCTGTAATCCTGTGTATTTGGGTGGTGGAGCCCCAGGGCGTGGAGGTTGAGACCAGCTTGGGCAAAAGACCCTTATCTGAAAAAAGAGGCTGTAAGCAACCGGACTAGGGTGTCCTTCAATGGTAGAGTGTTACGTAGAAAGTTTGAGGCTCTGAACTCAACCCCCAGTAATAAATGGAAGAGGCCTTCAAGGGCATTTGATTTCTCTCATCTTACTTTAGATAAGGAAATTGAAAAGGTTTATAAATCATGTAAAGATCAGTACTTTGTGAGTCTTCTGTAAATGTTGCAGGCAAAGAAATAGAATGTATAAAAAAGTCAAGAGATTTTTTTTTTTTTTTGGTGTGTTTATTCTTTGGTTTTCTCAGACAGGGTCTTGTTATATAGCCTGGGCTGCCTCAACTTGCAGTCCTCCTGCCTACCCTGAGTGCAGGAGTCACAGAATCACCATGCCTGGCTCCTTTAAACAGATATTTCAAACCTGTCATATGAAAAATTTTTACACACTTCATAATGCTTAAAGTATCATACTCATACAATACTGTATACACTATTTGTCATTAATAAATCTATTACCTTTTATATTTTCACTTTTTGTGATATTTATAAACAATCATTTTGTGTTTACCTAATTCTAGACTGTTTAAAGGCATATAAACATATTTTGAGAATGAGCTAAGGAAATGGGAATACAGAGAAGTATAAGATGAAAATAATATAAATACATGGTAGTATATAGGGAATTGCAAATGAAAAGTGTAGATTGTAAACTCCAGGGCATAGTAAGATTAGAAATTTGGTTTCTGCATGTGTTGTTAGAAGATGGCTAACAAGGGACAATGAGTAGAATTTGATAGACCATAGGTAGAAGAGTTCAACTTAGAAATGGATAATATTTTGTTAGTGAGCAAGATCACTTTGATTGGGTAAGAGTATTGGGGTAAAACGTTAGGTTGAGGAGCTTAAGAATGGGTGGTCGTTGGGGCTGGGAAGGTGGCTCAGTGGTAGAGTGCTTGCCTTGCATGCATGAGGCCCTAGGTTTGATTCCTCAGCACCGCATAAGCAAAAAAAGAAAAAAGCCGGAAGTGGCGCTGTGGCTCAAGTGGTAGAGTGCTAGCCTTGAGCTGAAGAGCTGAGGGATAGCACCCAGGCCCAGAGTTCAGGCCCCACGACTGGACCCCCCCCCCCAAAAAAAAAAAAAGATTGGATGGTTGTGTATATTGTAAAAGGTATTTGAGTGTTAAATGAAATAGTTTGGCCTGGACTCTAGATAGTTGTGAGGTTTTGAAATCTTTTGAGGGAGAGCTGATATGTAGAAAGTAAGGGTTTTAGTTTTAGTTTTAGTTTCTAAGTACCAGGGATCAAACCCTTGGGCATCACGCATGCTAGTATATTCTACCACAGGAGATTAACCTCATCTCCCAGAGTATAATTTTAAGTATATTAGATTGTCTATGATATACAGTATGGATAGAAGAGTCCCTTGTGAGGTACTGTTGGCATAGAATAGTAGCAGTTCAAAGGGATTAATATAAGTGCAAGTAACAAGGCCTAGTTATTGTGTATATATGAAGGGGAAAAAGAGGGTTTCTGTTACTTGGAAAGAATTGATAGAAATAGGAAATTCTGCCATCAGTGGCATATCATCTTGAAAAATAGTTTGGATTTAGGACAGCATCTTTGGGATGAGAGACTTTTAATGGCGCCTCATGAGAGAGGTGGAAGTTGGGCTCAGAGTTTTGAGGAATTGAATCTTGCCTATAGAAGTTGACAGTCACGAAAGTGAATGAAATCTCAGAATCATCTCAGAGATTTGAAGAGATGGTGTCACACTCAATTTCAGCAGGTTCAGGAAGAAGCTCTTGGTATAGAACTTTGAAAATAATGGTTGGACAAGTAGAACTTAGGAAAACCAACTGCATGAAAATCAGTTTGTTCTTAGTAACATTCTTTTTTTCCTATTTTTTCCTACATCTTTCATGTAAGAAATTGGGAAATAAAAAAAAAACTACAAATACTTAAAAGTATTTACAACATGACCAGCTGGAGAAAAATATTGTACATATTTGAAAATATATCTTAGATTGCCATATAATTCTTCCTTAATATGTATTTATATTGACTCACAGCAGTGTTTAGTCTTTGTTATGGATAGTTGAGATAAATTGGGTGAGTGGGTGAAGAGTTTGGCTGTTTTACATAGCTTATTTGATGTCACAATTTTGCAAATATTTAGTGTATGTAGAATTTTCCATAATATCTATTTTATTTTCAAGTAACTTATCTAAAAGAAATTTCTGCTCTAATATTCATCTTTTATTTTTCAGATGATTGCAAAAGGGAAAAATGCATCTGAACTCTTTCCTGCTGTTGTGAAGAATGTGGCCAGTAAAAATATTGAGGTACTGTTTTGATTAATGATTTTCATGCTTCCTTTTTGTAAGTAGAACATAAATTTTCAGTTACTTTGAAATGCAACATTAGGTATTTAAATATTACTGAATCCTTGTTAGTTATATAGTTACAATGTTCATAATCTTTTTCTTTTTTTGTTTGGTGATGGTGGGACTTGAACTCGTTGTTTATGCTAGACAAGCAATGTGTTACTGAGCTACATCTCCAGCCTCTGTCTACAATCTTTTAAAAACATTGGCATCAATCAGTTGTACAAAGGATTTCATTTAAACAGTTCTTTTTATGTATAGTAAATAAAAGAATCATGGCTTGATAATGGCAGTAGAAAATTTTAAGTAGAGCAAAGGAAAAGACTACCTGGGTCATACTTTAGGATGATGTACAGTAGATTCTTTTATTTGAACATCTCTCCAGTAAACCTTTTTCTAATATGAAGTAGATTATCGTAGCTTATTATAACTTATTTCTAAGATATCAGTTAATAATTGGGAGATATTTATATAATTTTTACACATTTTTGTTTTTAATTTTAATTTTTTACTGCTATTATAAAGGTGATATACATAAATTACATAAGTCAGGCAATGAATGCATTTCTTTTTGGACAGTGTCATCCCTTCCCTCATTCCCAGTTTTTCCCTCAATATTTATACTTTTAATCACAATTTAGTAGATATTTCTTTGCTTTTTATCCAGAATTCTGAATTGATCATTTTAAACATACCCTTTCTTTGATGTCTTATGGTCATACTACCTGAGCTTCTAATTTGATAAGTAATTTAGTTTTATGGCTACTGGTAGAAGAAAGTCCAAATTGCTGAAAAAAAAATCAAAAATTTAACTTAGAAAAATCATGAGGTGTAGGTGAAGCTGGTCTTAGTGTTACCAAAAGAATAGAATTTAGCTGGGTGCTGGTGGCTCACCACTTTAATCCTAATAACACAGGAGGCTGAGATCTGAGGATCTCAGTTTGAAGCCAGGTAGGCAGGAAATTTCGTGAGACTCTTATTTCTAGTTAACCACCAAAAAGCTGGAAGTGGAGCAGTGGCTCAAGTGGTAGAGTGCTAACCTTGAGCACAAAGCTCAGTGACAGTCTCCAGGCCCTGAGTATAAGCCCTTGGACCAGCAAAGAAAATATCTGTGCAAGGTTGTTAGTGCCTGACACTGATGCACTCATTTTATTCTCACTGTTGACCCTGTGATGTTGGTTCTGTTATTACTGCATTATTTTACCTGTTTCTCTAGGCAGTTTAACTCCTCTGTTACCTTGGCCAAAATGACAGGACAAGATGGCAAAGGGGTTATATTACTTGGTGGAGGCCACACTATTCCTCTTAAGATTGTTTCCATGGGGCTGGGAAGGTGGCTCAGTGGTAGAGCACTTGCCTTGCGTGCATGAAGCCCTGGGTTCAATTCCTCAGCACCACATAAGCAAAAAAAGAAAAAGGCCGGAAGTGGTGCTGTGGTTCAAGTGGTACAGTGCTAACCTTGAACTGAAGAGCTGAGGGACAGCGTCCACGCCCAGAGTTCAGGCCCTACAACCCGACCTTCTCCCCCCAAGAAAAAAAAGGTTGTTTCCTTTCAGTGTGATCCTTACCATTGATAGTTCTTTTTTCTACCTTCGTGTTTTTAACCTCTCTTTAACATCTGGTATTGTTACAATTTTAAAAACTCTCAAGGTCTATTGGAAATCAGTACTAAATAAACTTGTTCCTGTGAAATACTAGTTTTGTAGACAGAAAGTTTTGTACTGAATATTTTATTTATAGTTGTTTATAATTTTCAGTATATTTTTCAATAGTTATCAATAATAGAACTTTCCTATGAGCATAATTTTCACTGTTACAATTAGATTTTAGTATGTTGTCTAGTTTTGTAACAAATGCCAATGTATACTTAATTACTGATTTATTTGTTTTGGACTGCTTTTGTTCTTTAAAACTTTATTTTTTTTGAAATGTACTTAATCTCATGTTATGGGGAAACTGATGTAAGTTTCTTAAAAATTTGTGTTCCGAGAGTTGATCTTTTTTTGCTATCATGTGCAAAATTTCATTTTTATAAGTACATACTACCTTACATACACTGGTGAACTGATGTATGTCGTCTGCCATCAGATGTCAGCTGATAACAAAAGTGACCTAGTAAGCAATCAGTGGTTATAGTACAAAAATAATCAAAGGCTTAGTCAATAACTCATGAAGTTTGATGTGCTAGTATTGATAAACTAATTAAACATATCTGCCTGTGTTTTTCCAGACTACTGGAGCTCTGCTATGATTAGCTTTACAGCAAAGAGTGTTGTAACATTGAATGAAAGTAACTGATCAGAGAATGGTGTAGTCACGAAGCTTTAACTACTCCCATTTCTGGTCACAGAATGGTTTCAGGGAAAGTAGGCTTTCTCTGCACACCTGCATCCAGTCAGTGCATAGGCCTCTTGTGGTCAATATTGATTGATTCTTATAAGAGAACTAGAACAAATTTAGTGTTTTGCAACCTTCTGTGATTTAATATTGTTATGCTTTTTGCCATAACAGTCACAGAAATCCTTTTCCAATAGTAAGTAATTATAGCCATGCCTGCTAGCTCAGCAGTGGTTCTGAATGTTTCAATATTGCCATTATAAACTGCTAGATATATTCTGGAGTTCATAATACATTTTTAGAGCTGGTTGTACAGTTACATGATAAATAAAGGTGTTGCTGAGAAATGTCAAAGAAATGGAGCAGAGTAGATGCAATGATTCTTTTAAACCTTCCAGAGAAATGTAAAGTAAAATCTGAGCATAATTAGAGATGAAAAGGCTACCTTAAGTGAGTTTTAAAAACAAAAGAACAGTAAAAACAGCAAAAAACCAAGGAAGTTAAAGACTTTAGGACCAATTTTTCAATACTTACGACTTCTATTGGTGGCCTTCTAGACATTGCTATGCAATAACTTCCTACCTAGGAAGTTAGACCATAGATGTAGTAATCTATTGGGAAAGTCTTAATTAAAGAAAAAATCAGCTAACTATTGTATTGGTATATGACACAGCTGACAGTCATTGAGCTCTTCAGTGCCAGATTTAGAAATTTGATCAAAACCGTCAATATACTTTGAAAAAATAGATAAGTGTGCAATTATTTAGTGCATATTATTCAAGGTAGATTCAAGAGAACTCATCTTGTACATCTGACGTATTTGATTAGATATATGGAAACTGCTATTAATCACTCAACCAAGAATTTAGTGGTTTTCTAAGTATTAATGCCTTTCTAATACTGTTTTAGGCTTAGAAAATCAAAATCTAATTGGGAAGAAAGTTACTCATCTTTAAACAATTAGGAAGACTATATAAGTTCTGAGAGATTATTTGGTACTTGACAGGACAGACACATATGCTTCTTGTTGGCTACCTGTAGCATGTTCCTGTATTAATACATTTGTACGGCCTACAAATGATGTTATGAATATCCAAATGGCCCTTAGCAGAGAAAAGGTTTCTCATACCTGAATTAGAGAAATACGTATAAAATTGTAATTGTAAGAATAAAAACATAAATATAATCTAAAACATTAGCTATAGTTTATATTGATTCCTATCTTACAAAACAATGTGACCTAATTTTTAAACCTATTTTTTTGTAAAATCATTTTGTTTATTTAACACATTTGTTTTTGGATTATGCAGATTTTGAAATTTGAGAACTACTGGTTTAAACACGAAGCATACAGAGGCTGATAATAAATTGATAATAAATCTGTAGAATGAAGTCATTCTCACTTTTACTAAAGAAGTGAGTTTCTTATTAGATTGTTAATAGTGATACCTCAATAATGAGGTTAAGGAGTTAGGGGTTATGAGATAGAAGGAAGCAACTGATAAATTAAAATTGATCAAAATCTAATTTTTATTTTGTTTTTTCCATTCATTATTTTCTTAAAAATTTAGTAGTTGTTATTGCCTTTAAAAATGACATTCAAAAAACATATCTAATCATTCTTGGAATTTCTATTGCATTAAGTTGTCATTGTCACACATTCTTATTGAGCTAGAAATATATGCTGGATTATGAATATTAGCATATGAAGAATCGGGCTCCAGCAACTTTTAATAGATGAAGAAACATAAGCTCCAATACCAGAGCAGGGCTTAAATTATTCTTCTTACCTATGTCTTTGATTTTTGAAATATTTTCTCAAACAATTAACATTTTAATATTTTTATATGGGCTTTGCTCAGGAATTTTTAAAATTTCCTTTGTTAGGAAGGGATATCTTGATAGGATGTCATTGTTATAGACTGAATTATGAAAGTGCCTACTTCTCAAGCTTTTTCTCTTGCCAGTCATTATCCTGCAGCCTGCTCTGTGACTACTGGGTTCCATTACTTACATGAGGAAAATTGAAAAAGAATTTTGGTATAGAAAATACTGAGTTTTAAATTTTCACTCTGGCTTGGAGTAAATAACTGTTGTTGTTTTTTTTAAACAGATCAAGAAGTTGGTATATGTTTATCTGGTCCGATATGCTGAAGAACAGCAGGATTTGGCACTCTTGTCCATAAGCACTTTTCAGCGCGCTTTGAAGGTAAATGTTGAACTAAGCAGGCAAATAGCTACAAGGTTTCTGCACAGTTGAAGGTGTGTCATTTAAAGAAGTGGAGCAATAATCCACTAAACAACCCAGTGGTGTCTTGAAGGAGTTAAAAAGCCTCCAAGCTTCCTATAGAGCCTACTCAATACACCTAGAAAATGACTTATATAACCAAGTAGAATTTTGCTTTGTAAGTTTTAGCTTCTGTGTGCTTCTTTATGTGCAATATAATTATTTCCATATGTCAAAGAATTGTTTATATAATTCTACTAACTAGCTATTGAAAATAGGTAGAGGACAAAAGACATTTTTTATGACATAGTCACTTTATTAGGGATGCTAAAATCTCAGCACATTTAGTAATAAAAATCAACTAAAATTATAATCTTAACATTTCTTTAAATCTTGTTCAGAGAAGTAAACATTTATTTTTCTTTCTCATTTTAAATTAAGAGACTGACTTTTGCTATTTTAATATGTTTACTATTTCTAGTAAGCACCTGTAATTTATGTGACAAAAGATGTCTTTAAAAATTATGAGCTTTCAGTTTGATGCATATTTTACACTGTTCTTAGGATCCAAATCAACTAATCCGTGCAAGTGCTTTGAGAGTTCTGTCAAGTATCAGAGTGCCAATTATTGTTCCTATCATGATGCTTGCTATTAAGGAAGCTGCTGCTGACTTATCACCATATGTTAGGAAAAATGCAGCCCATGCAATACAGAAATTGTACAGGTAGGTCTTTCATGAGTAATATTAAAGATCTGTTACATTACATGGAATGTTGTACCCCACAAAGACTAACTCTTGTGACTATCCTGATCTCATACTCAGGTGAAATGACTTTTTCTTCTACAGATAGTCTATACATATCCTTAATTTTGTCTTGGCTATAGAGATCCCATGCATAGTTTTATTTGTTATTAGTGTAATAGGTCCTGGGATGATTTTTAGATTTTATAATTTGAAAACAGTAAAAATATGAATTCTCATTTATATAGTCTGTCTAGTATACACACATAAAAACATATATGTATTATTAGAGAATTGGGAGATTTTTCCTGTTTTTATTATAGAGTAGAATCTTAAGTATATTATCCTTACAACTCACTTATCTTCATTTCCCTTTCTTTCATTTTTATTCTTGCTGTCTACTTCCTAAAGAGTGATTCTTTCCAAGAGATGTCTCACATGTAACATAAAACATCTGCAAGCTTTCTTGAGACAATTTGATTTCTGGTGTAGTTTTCATAGTGTTGTGCAATTTGTTTTAGATATATAAATCAGTAGAAGGTGTGCTATTTAACAGTCAACTTTCTTTAAAACATTTCTTTAAAACATTTTGCCAGTGGCTCACATCTGTAATCCTAGTTACTCAGGAGGCTGAGATCTGAGGATTGTGGTTCAAAGCCAGCCCAGGCAGGAAAGACTCTTTATCTCCAATTAACCACTAGAAAACCAGAAGTGGCAATGTGGCTCAAGTGGTAGAGCACTCACCTTGAGTTGAAGAGCTGAGGGACAGTGCCCAGGCCCAGAGAGTTCAAGTCCCATGGCTGATCAAAAAGAAAAAAATTTATATGGATTTTATTATTACCCTAAACTAATCTAAACTAATATATTAGAGAAAAAAATACAGTATTTGTCTGTCTTTCTCTCTCTGTCCCATTTCTACCTATTCCTTTCTGTTCATGTTTTATGTTAACCTATCCATTTATATACTGCATCTTTATCAGAGTCACTTTCTCCCTCATTCTCCCTTTTGTCCCCTTCCTCTTCCCAGTACTTACCTTTCTGAATCTGGCTTATTTCACTTAACTTGATTATCTCTTATTCCATCTGTTTTCTGCCAGATAGCTTAATTTTATTCTTTTTTAACATGTCATATCTTTGAGAAAGAAATAAATCATATGCTAATTAAAACTAATTTGTAATTGAAGAAGATATTAACACATGATTTATATGTATATATAAAGGTTCACTAACAATGTCTTTAATAGGAAAAAGGCCATTATGTTAAGTAAATGCTTAACTACTGAGTTATAACCACAGCCATTTCATCATGTTATAAGGGTTAAGAGAAAATAAAGATATAAATAAAATTCAAAAGGAGGGCTTTGGAGAAGGAGTATTTGAACTGTAACTTGAAATAATTTAAAAGGTTAGGCAAATTCATGTGGTTGACATCTGTTCTCCTAGCTACTTGGGAGACTGTTAATGGAAAAATCATAGTTTAAGGCCAGCCTAGGCAGAAAAGTTTGCCAGACACATTAACCTATGGCAGGGCATAATGTTGGATTCCTGTTATCATCCCAAGCTATGTGGGAAGCTGAGATTGGGAGGGTTGCTGTACCAGGTCAACTTGGGTAGAAAAGCATTTGACACTGTCACTACAGAAGTGAACTGGACATAGTGGTATATTTCTATGGTCCCAGCAAGATGGGAAACTTATAATAGATAGATTGCAGTTCATACTGGAGTCTGAATAGACCCTCTTTCTAAAAAAAAGAGCATCTGAACTCTTTCCTGCTGTTGTGAAGAATGTGGCCAGTAAAAATATTGAGGTACTGTTTTGATTCATGATTTTCATGTTTCTTTTTTGTAAGTAGAACATAAATTTTCAGTTACTTTAAAATGCAACATAAGGTATTTAAATATTACTGGTGTGGCTTTGTTTAAATCCAGGACAGCCCCTCCCTCCACTCAAATGGTTTGATTATTTGGATGGTAAGTAGTTACAGTGTTAAAAAACATGTAATATTTGAAAAATACATAAATTCAGAGGTTAACTGGCAGGGTTTTACTAGTTTCATACATTATCTTTTCTTGTCATAAACTAATGTATAAGCCAAATGCTAGTGGCTCACGTCAGTAATCCTAGCTACTCAGGGGACTGAGATCTGAGGATCTTGGTTTGAAGCCATCCTGGGCAGGAAAGTTCATAAGACTCTTCAAGTGGAGCTATGGCTCATGTGGTAGAGCAGCCTTGAGCAAAAAAGGTCAGAGACAGCACCCAGGCACGCACCCATGCACACACACATACACACAAACACATGCATGACCCCCCCCCCACAAAGTGTGTCTAATTACTAAGCTCTACTTTACAGTCCACCCCAACATTTAATCTCTTTCTGTATAGATCTTAGATTCTAGCTGTCCAGTACTCTTATTCTCCCATATCAAATGTTTTAATCTCATTGCTACTGCTATTTTTCTTAGTTTTAGGTGGCAAGTTTTATAATACATATCTCCATTGGCAAACCAATGTGATACCGCTCTTACTTGGAAATTCTGTTTTTTGGCAATCACATATCCATAGTGTAAAAAAATGTTCGCTATTTTATTATTTTTTCCTCTAGTTGAAAAATGGAGTTGTGATCTATGTGCTTACAATTACTTCCTTAAAGTTTTCCAACTTTAATAAACAGGGAACATGTTCTTTTGTTTCTTATTTTTGGTAGTACTAGTTTTGAACTCAGGGCTTTGTGATCGCTAGGCAAACAATATACTCCGTGAGCCATACCCTGACTTGTTCTTTAAATACTTCCTTAATGGCATGAGTTTCTAGTTTGGTTAATATGAACAGCTTTACAAAGCAGGATTAGGATACATTTATGAGAAAAATTGTGCCATTTTACTTTAAATTTGTTTCTGTTTTTCTTGGAAATAATTCATAGGATGATAATCATTGTTTAAGGTTGGAATCAAATAGAAATATTAATTAGACTGCTTTATATTTTAGTCTTGATCCAGAGCAGAAGGAAATGTTAATTGAAGTAATTGAAAAACTTCTAAAAGATAAAAGTACTGTAAGTAATCTTTTTATGTCACTAAAGTAGAATGGTTCTTTATTTACAGTTATCATCATTATATATTATAATTATACTTACTGATTTCAAAATATTGTCTATTATTACAATATTATAAAATTTACTGTATAATTAGAAGGGTTACATTTGGTATTTGGGATTTTAGCTTAGCACATGTTTCTTTGTTAAAATCTGAAGAAAGGCAAGTTGGAGAAAAGTCTTTAATCTGTGGCTAAATGTTCATTGCTTTTTACAGTTGAATTAAAAATTGTTATTGCTATTATAAGGGTGATATACAGAGGAATTACAGTTATATAAGTCAGGCAATGAGTACATTTTTTTTGGATAGTGTCACCCCTTCCTTCACTCTCCTAGTTTTTCCCTCCTGTCCCCACTGAAGTTATATAGTTCATTTTCAACATAGTGCCTAGTGAATACCACTATTGCCTTTGTCCCTCCATTTCTATCTCCCTCCCCCTTTACCTTCCCAAAGACAGATAAATGAAAAAACAAGATGAAAAGAAAACAAAAATAACAACAAAGTAAAAACCTCTTGTTTTCATTTACTGGAGTTCATTTAGATAAATATTATTTTATATGATCAGAGACACATAAGCATTGCACTGTTGTGTTCCTCCCTTAAGAGTATCTTCCTTTGATCTCACTGTCTATGAATGCCTAGAGTCTTGTATAATTTATCATGTCCTGGTGTATTTTAGATCTGGGATCACATATGAGAAAACATATGCTATTTGTCTCTCTGAGCTTGGCTTACCTCACAACATGATTTGCTCTAGGTTACAGTTGAATTTTTTTAATATGTTTTTTATTGTAAAAATACTTTACAGAGGGGTTACAATTATATGACTAAGGTAATAAGTACTTTTCCTATCAAGCATTGTTACCTCCTCCTTTGTTTTTCCCCTACTATCCCTTTCCTTCTTATCTCCCCACCTCCCCAACCCCTCTCCCTCTCCCTCAGTTGAATTTTTTAATTCAGTAATTTATTAGGATTTATAAAATATTGACTTACCTGAGAACAAGTAATAGTTTTAAAATGAAGTAATAAGAAGGGTTAGAGATATGGAACAATCAAGAGTGGTGTGTTTTAGTATTAGTATTATAAATGTGTTTGCTTTGTTTTGAGAAAGGGTATTTCTTTTTTTTTTTTTTTTGTCGGTCGTGGGGCTTGAACTCTGGG